AAGTCGGGATTCACCTGTGGAGATGGGCGCACCTGAAAGTAACTCCAGCGACTCAGATGAGATTTAAGGAGCAGTTTGGGAGTAGACTAGTTGCAGAGTTCAAAGTGTCGTGATACCGTGTGCCTTGTGTTTAACTCTTGCCCTGAGTTCCTGCTTTCAGCTTCGTGGATTCCTGTTTGTGTGGACGACCCTGCCTGGAACTGGATTCGTGAGTCTCATCTCCTGCCCTGACCCTCGGACTGCCTGACCACTCTACGCTTCTGCCTATCCCTCGGTGACTTCGTTGGACCGCTCCTCATGCGGATTCCTGTTTACTGCTTTGTTTGGACTTGGAATGGACTGAGTTTCTGCTGCTGAAATCAAGCATTCTGCCTGTGTTTGTTGCTTTCCTTTTCCCAGCGAGGACTGACTGGGACTTGGTTTGTTTACATTCTTGCAAGCCGCAAGCCCTTTTGTGTTTACAGCTCTGATTTAAGAGCCCTTTTTCTTATGTTAATAGACATTAAAGACCTTTGTTTAACTCCTTAACTGCCGTCTTGCCTTGCTGGTCCGCCTGGGTCTTGACACATTGAATTCAGTGAGACTTCTAAGTAGGCACACACAGGATTGTACAGAAATAAGTTTATGTCATCCACATGATAAAATTTGTCAGAACTCAACATTATCTATATTTTCTTTTGCAATAATTAAACCACATTAAAGAATAAAATTATGAACTGGAGATAAGATGGATTTTCCACAGACCTTCAGGCAACTAATTAAGTACACAAAAAGAAAAACAAGCCAGGCATTATAGTAGTAACCATGAAGCTAAAGTCAGGATTAGCTGATACTCAAACAACAACTGCCAAGAGGATAAACAGCTAAAACTTTAAGGAGAGATCGTATGTCATTCTTTCTGAATAAATTTTGTTAGATGAACATACTTAATCCATGTGTGAAATTTTTGTGTGAAGCAAAAAAGATTCAAAATGGAAAACTAAATTATATAACAGAAATGTTAATCTTCACTAAGCAATTAAACGCCTGGCAGACTTCCTTCTTCTCTCTATCTCTGCAAACCCCACCTACTACCACCTAAACTGGGCTCTACAGGCCAATGGATACTCCACCACAGACATCAGAAGAGCTGCAAGACCAAGAACAAGCCACAAGATTAAATATAAAGATCCATCCAAGGATCACAAAAGGCACTGTGGACGAATTCAACCAGAGATGTCAGCCATAGCAGAGCACTTGATCAACCAACCTGGACACAGCATAACATTTGAAAACACAGAAATGCTGGACCACTCTCACAACCACCAAGTCAGACTACACAGAGAAGCCACTGAAATCCACAAGAATGTGGACAATTTCAACAGAAAGAAGAACCATGAAAATGAACAAAATCTGGCTACCAGTATTAAAAAAACTCTAAAAATAAAGAACATTAGAAAAACAGGGGTTTCCCAGAGAACAAACAATCATGGCCAGCTAACACCTCCCAAAAAAGGCTTCTCCAGGCAGGAAGCAGCCAGGCTTTGAAACTACAAGGCTATTCAGTACTAATCAAGGTGGTCAACTGCAATGTTCACACCTGCCTCCAACATTCCACAGATATATAAACCTCACTTGCAGAGTTTCCAACAGACCTCACAACCTCTGAGGATGCCTGCCATAGATGTGATCGAAACGTCAGGAAGGACTGCTTCTGGAACATGGCTATACAGCCCGGAAAATTTACAGCAACCCAGAATAAGTCTTGACCTGCAAAGATTCTCATCATTTCAGGATTGTTCTTGGAAGGGTTTCTTAACTGTGCTGTCGCACGCTGGGCCTGTACATAAAACTGTAGACAGGACATACATTCTGTGTGCCCAACGGAATGCCGAGACTGCCTCAGATTAAAAGCCTTTGGATTTCCTTAAAACAGAGTCTCTAGATTGCTCAAAGGTTCAACAAAGTTCTTTATTGATGAAAACAAACAGGTACTTTTAAAGCTTTCTTAACAGTCTATTGGCTCTCTCTCAATCTTGTCCACAGGGAACAGGCACTATCTTCATAAACTGTACATTAACTAATGGGGAAATCCTTAACTTCTAATCTGGGCAGTCTGTCTGTTGGCGTGGAGCCCCTGCACCCGGTACCAACTGCTTCTGGCTTCCACGAGTTTCCCTTAGCAAGCAGAGCTTTGTAGACTTTCAGGGGGAAAAGAGTTCAGGATTCGGTGATGGCTGGTTGAAGTCCCTCAGCAAAGGAGATGTAAGGCTGTATATCTTCCGGCCAAGCTGTGGGGCTCTATCACCCCGGCTAAGCCGTAGAAGATGAAGCTTTCTACAGGAGCTCTTCGTATTATGTCCTGAATGGAAAGCTTCTCTGTGTGGGCTGAACCCAAACTGGCTCCTATTCCCTCCAAAACCCAAAAGGGGGGCAGGACCAGGGAACCTAACTATAATTGACAGGTGGCTTGCCCTATGATTGCAGCCAAAAGAAGCCACCTATCTGCAGAGTCCCTGAAACTTAGGACTACAACAAACATTCAATGCAAAGCAAACAAAATTGGAGCTCCTGGTACAGCTGTATCTGCATATTAACACTTGAAAAACATACTCTGGGACATTCTTTGAATATTTCAAATATTATTTCTTTTCCTGATCAGAAATCCAGTAATCATGGTGTAAACACACATTAAAAGAAAAGGAAAATCTGTCAGTCCCTAATAAACCTACAATTTAATAGTAGGGAGAGATGAATCTGTCAATTTCAGTTTCTGTAATTTTCCTATTCTCAAGTATAGTTTGTCCTGCCACTATACTCCTGGGGATTCTTAAAAAAATTCCCATTAATATGTGAGTGAGATTTAGTGCAGGCTTCTTATATATTTTTGTACAGTTTTGTCTAGCACATTTTATGTTGTTAACATTTAGGCCTAACATAACACATTATTGTGCATTATTTTCATCTCATAATTTGACTCACTTTTAATTACTACATGAATTCAATTTTTAAAGTATTTTTACAAGACTTGGGGAACTGTAGTTTTTAATATAACTGTTTCAGAGTGCTAATGTATTACTCTCGCCTTTCACGTCCCTCTCTTTTTCCTTCTGCCCATACTTGTCGCCTTCCTTCTCCTTCTCTCTCTCCCTAACAATTTTTCCTTCACATCTGGCACACAAAAGAAAAGCTAGGAATCATGACTGGGATATGTAAATTCTCCGCATTTTAAAGCAGTGATTTCCATTAAACTGAACACACTTTACTTCTGAATAGACATCCACAGCTATGATTTCACCAAGAGGGTTACGTCCAAAGAAATTTCATTTCATCCCTGTTGCAGACCAGATCAAAACGTGTATTTTGGACCATGGTATAAAACAGCATTTTCAAACCATCCCCATGCCGATTGAGGATAATAAGAACTGAATTCCAATACATCTGGAGGGAGCCAGGTTAGGAAAGTCTGGGGTGAAATATCCAAGTAAAACCACAGAAAATGTTATAAACTGGATATGGTTTTTAAAAGTAACCCTCGAAAGTATTATTTGCATGTTGTTTGCTTATCTTGAACAAGCACCAACTGTATTCAGGAGAGCATTAAAAAAGCAAATTCCCTGTGTATTTCCCTGCCCCTTTCTTCATATGCTTTATATTCAGGAGAAGGAATATCACAGCAGTGCTGTGACTTTTCATGCAACTTCTCCTATTCCTTCACAACCAAAAGAAAGACAATGCATGTCGCTATCACAGCACAGTACTGTTCTGATGTAAAACTATGTTTGTTGTGCATCCAGTAAAAATAACAGACAGAATATCCCCAAAAGAGGACCGAAAAGGGAGGAAGCATGAAAAACCACATTCCTGGATTACCAAACACAGAAAACATGAAGACTTTGGTATAATTTTTGTTGCTCAAGATGAAATACAGTGTCTATAAAGCTCCCCAGGCTATAAATCTGCACAATTTACTAATACTTCATTCTATACTGCTGGTAACAACACTTCCTTAGCAAATGGTGCAGTTAGCTGGGAGCTAGCTGCATTAAAAAACTACTGACAGAAAGGTCATGAGTTCGAAGCCAGCTCAGGTCAGAGTGAGCTTCTGGCCATTTTCTAGCTTGCTGTCGACCTATGCAGCCCAAAAGACATTTGCATCTGTCAAGTAGGAAATTTAGATACCGCTTTATGTGGGGAGGCTAATTTAAGTAATTTGTGATGCCATAAAACCTTCCAACAGCGTGCAGAAGAATGAGGAAGTACTCCATCAAAGGACTTGGTGTCACAATGGACGGTGAAGCGGCAGCTCCCCCTGTGGCTGAAATTGAGCCGGAATCAAGCATACTGTTATGAAGCCAGAAAAGCCTGGGCACAGCTGGAACGTTAAATTGCCACTGCATCTGTTTATATATGTTGTATGTCTAACTGGCATTGAATATTTGCCATGTATATATGCATTGTAATCTGCCCTGAGTCCCCTGCGGGGTGAGAAGGGTGGAATATAAGTACTGTAAATAAATAAATAAATATTGTTAACAGAGCTGAACATAAATATGAGCATTTTTAAGCAAAGTTTTAAATGAGAAAGGAAAGCTACGATAGCTAACAACAGATACCATGGATTTAGGAAAAGTGTTCTAATAAACTTATAATAATAATAATAATAATAATAATAATAATAATAATTTATTTATATTCCACCACCATCTCCCAGAGGGTCTCAGGGTGGCTCACAAAACACTCAAGGTGTGGCATGCAAAATACAACAAGTGCAAAACAAAACATACCAGTAGACAATGAACAATCAACACAACATCATAAATTCCCTGGTAAAAACAATAAAATACAGCAATTGCTGTGGAGAAAACGGCATCTAAAACTTACGGTACTCGCAAGCCTATGTCCAACTGTAACAATTTTGAAGGTATGCCCAAAATGATATTTACTCCCAAATCAAATAAGTGTTCTATTCGCAGATGTTAAAAACATTTCTCACTGTTTCTGTGTGGTTTAATACTCACGGAAATATTGTATGCTGGCTCCAGTGTCACTGGTACTGACATCTTCCCTTGAAGATTTAATTTGGTTAAGTAAAATGTCTTTTCTCCCAGAATCCTCTCTTTTTTTACACGGCGTATGCTGTACAGTCTAAAGCGCACTGCATAATTCCCAATCATCTCAGATTCAATATGATTAAATTTAAATGTCTCGGTGAAGACAGGGCATGGACCCCGCTGGATGCTGGTTTTTGCTCTCTGTTTCTTGATAGGAAGAAGAACCAGGTGTACTTGCCATAGACTTCCACTTGTCCTGCTGTAATTTGGAATGTCTGTGACAGCTGTCACTGTTATCAGAAGTTTCTGTTCTTGCGAGTCATAGTCAAATGTCACATCCAAGGTGCCATATTTAGCTTCGGGTTCTGGATCAAATGATTTAGGGAGCTGTGACGATGATCCTCGAGCTGACAGATCCTGAATGAAATGGAAAAGAGCACTCTGACATCTCTATATGCCCCTCTGGAGACTATAATTCTTCTCAGAGCTTGTAAAGTTACATTTAAAAAATAGTTACAAAGAGTCTCAATTAGTTGACATTTCAATTCTATTTTTAAAACCCTCACTAAACCAGGATAAGTAAGTTCCTCGGGGTCATTTTCTAAAGAACTGGGCCTACAGGGTGGGCATTTTTACAACATCTAAGGAATTGAAAACAATGTACTAATATTTTAGCCTATTGACATATATAGGGTTTTTTTTTTCAGATAAAAACTGTATGGAACAAAAATGATCTCAACTTATCTACTGCATTTGTATTAGGATAAATAATAATTTCAGAGCAAAGAGCCACGCAAAATAATGTTCCACCTCATGAGAACATGTGCTTTTTCCCCCACAATTCAGTGGAAAACAAGGGATGTTTTAATACTTAGGGATACATGGGAATGTGTGCAGTTCTACACAGACACTATAATCACAGACACTATATAACCTGCTTATCTCGGCAATCGCGTCTTTCCCTATGAACCAGTGCGTATCTTGAGATCATCTGGGGAGGCACTGCTCTCTCTCCCTCAGACTTCTCAAGCACGGTTGGTGGGGATGAGGGAGAGGGCCTTCTCAGTGGTGGCCCCCTGGCTCTGGAACTCCCTCCCTATGGAGATCAGATGGCTTCTACTTTGTCCTCTTTCCAGAGTCAACTAAAAACCTGGATGTTCTACTTTCGATTAAGCAGTCCACTTGTAATTTTTTCCTGTCCCTACTTTAAATTCAGCACTTTACATTCGGCCCTCTTATTGTCCACCTCAACACTTTGATGACACTATTCCCAGTCCTGTCTACTTGATTGTTTGCACTTTCCTTGCGCTCCTCTTCAGGATGTATTACACATACAGAGCCTGAACTTCAGCTATGTCTTTTCTCAGCCATATTGGGTTTTTTTTATACTTTATCTGATGTTTTTAAATGTGTGTTTTATTTGTAATTTTTGGACTTGTCCCTTGTAAGCCACCCCGAGTCCCCATGGGGAGATGATTGGCGGGGTATAAAAATAAAGTTATTATTATTATTATTATTATTATTATTATTATTATTATTAATCAGTTTGGAATTGGATAAAGAAACAATGTGGTTTTGCTCTGCAGTGCAAACACAAACACCCCAGGAATTGGTTTGAGGCTGGGATGGTGGACACGGCATCTTTTGATTGCAGATCAGAAGCAAATCCAGGAATCTCACTATCGGAAGCTAGGCAGCCATTGGAAAATGCAGGGTTTTTTCTTAACCAGTCTGTTTTTTTTATGTCCGGAGCAACTTGAGAAACTGCAAGTCACTTCTGGTGTGAGAGAATTGGCCATCTGCAAGGACGTTGCCCAGGGGTCGTCCGGATGTTTTGATGTTTTACCATCCTTTTGGGAGGCTTCAATTATGTCCCTGCATGGAGCTGGAGCTGACATAGGGAGCTCATCCGTGCTCTTCCCAGATTTGAACCGGCAACTTTCAGGTCGGCAACCCAACGTCCTGCTGGCACAAGGGATTAACCCATTGTGCTACCGGGGGCACCTAACCAGTCTGCTGAGAGGTGCTAATATGCATATCCATCTCTGTTAGGAATCACCCGATTTCGAACCCTGCCTAGCATAATCTGCCTTGTTCTGAATTTTCTGGTGAGTATTTTAAACATGCTACAGTATGCATTGGAAGGGTACGTTTTGTGGATGCCCCACCCTAAAGCCACCTTTAAATTGCATTATAGTGACTGTGTAGAAATGCCCTGAGAATGTATTATAGATCCCTTAGATTAGGCATGGGCAAATTTCAGCCCTCCAGGTGCTTTGGACTTCAACTCCCACAATTCCTAACAGCCAGTAGGCTGTTAGGAATTGTGGGCGTTAAAGTCCAAAACTCCTGGACAGCTGAAGTTTGCCCATGCCTGCCCTAGATTAAAGTATTCAAAGTTTTTTTTGTTGGGCAGAGTTGAAAACAAAAACCCATTAACTTTACCATTATTCAAAGGAAACTAAAATAGTTGCCTTTGATTTTTTTTAAAAAAAATAGAGCAAAATGGAATTTATTTATTTATTTGTCATAATTATATTCTGCCCTTCTCAACCCCAAAGGGGACTCGGAGCAACATGGAAGACACTCTGAGGTAATGAGATCATATACCCTTGGAACTATAAAAGAAATGAAAGGGGGTACATTCTCAAAGCAAAGGGAATGAATGTAACACTACTTCAGAGATGTAACTGATTAGAAGTAACTGATTTGTAAAATGTGAATATGAAAGAAGTTTGATAAACTGGTAAATAGATTCTTGATAATTTTTGGCATAAATAATCTGCATGTTTTCTAAAATTATTAATATGGAAATTGCTTCCTAGTGGGGTAATGCTCCCCCCTCCTTCCACACACAAAGTAATGTAATAATTAAGGAAGGATATCCTGCTGAGAAACAGCCCTATGAAGAAAGATGCTTTTACAACTTATAAAGAAGGGAAATTAGAATGTGGTGGTGGTAGAGGAGGAGGAGGAGGAGGAGGCAAGAATAAAAGACCCCTAAGAAACAAATCCAAAGTCTTCAGCTGGGAAAAATCACAAAGACAATGTTGAATAGAAGGAGAAATGAGAAGTTGGAGGACTAAGTGGAGGTTAATCATTTATACAATAAATCCTATAATAGAATAATTGATGTGAGAAGCAATATGCCCTTAACACTGTCCAACATCTGTTCACAAGTGTGCATTCTGAAGTTTTTTTAGGTGTTTGTGTTATATTTACTACCTTGCTATTAAAAAGGCCCATAATTTCATCCAAGTGTGTGCTAACTAAAACATATTTGTGTAAAAATTAATGAAAACTACTGTAAATACTTGTACATGTCGACCTTGCACATAAATCAATGGCAGACTTTGGGGCCAAGATTAAGTTAGGTCTGGCCTTGACTGGCATGAAGCCCAGAATTTCTTCCAGTGTGAATTGCAGGTGCGGGTCACACAAAGCACAATGGGAGTGGGTCACAGTTCAACCCATCTTCACACTATCAGACCCATCCTGATCAGTTTGGATATAGTATTTACCTCAGGACTAAGGACAGCCGTACTATCACTAGGTACATCTTCTTCATATCCTTTGTTGTGAAAGCTTTCAATTTCATGTCCAGTACTACCTTCACTCGGGCACTTAAAGGAGCACCTTGGACTGTTGCTACACTGAGAGAATTCACATTTGCTGTCACCAACTTCAGAGGGTGTACATGAGAGGTGGGGAGAGCCACTGTCATCTTGGTACGGCGGAGGCTGCAATTCATCAAGAGGAGGCGTTTGTCTCATTCTCTGAATGCAGTTGGCTGTGAAAAAATGACAGTTGTTATACATTTTCACTAAACAATTGCTATTACATAAAAAATGCCCTGTTTAATGCAGAAGTAGGTAACTATCAGAAGCTCCTTGTTGTACCCACCACACAAATAGAAAGTCTTGTTACAATTGGCCTTCTATATCCCCTGATTTCATATCCACGGGTTCCACCATCCTTGGCTTGCAATTTTATAAAAAGATTGAATTTACTATGCCATTATATATAAGGGGACTGGAGCATCCACAAATTTTGATACCCATGTGGAAGGGGAGGGGTTGTACTGGAACCAAACTCCAGTAGGTCTCAAGGAGCCACTGTACTAGAACACTGCTTCTTAAGCAGTGGGTCTTGTCATGCATCATGTTCTGGAGTTGGTGGTGGTTGGTGGTGTCAGGCCTAGCAGTTGGTGGTGGATGGGGTTAATGTCGGTCCTAATTTTAAAGGGCAGAGTAATCTCTAAGTAAGAATTTACAGTCAAAAGCAATTAAGGGTGGAGGCATGCAAGAGATAGGATGCAGCTGGGTTTAACTGGATATAAGAAGCTAGCTTGGTAACTGATCTTTGGGAGAAAAGTATTTGTCCGTGGATGTGGCTGGTTTTTCCTCCAGATTTGTGGATTTTTCTTATCCTGACCTGTCTCTTGAACTCTTGGAACCTATGGTTTGTGGATTTTTTGGTATTCTGACCTGTCTCCCGAACTCTTGGAACCCTGGAACCTTTAATCTTTGAACCTTGGATCTTGACTATGGTATAGATTCTTGATCCTTAGACTTTAATCATTGAACTCTCGGTGTCTGACTACTGAACTGAACCTTTTGACTACGGTATTTTCCCGAACCTGTGTTGGCGTTTGCTACCAGTCTTTGTTTTATATTCTGTGACTGAGTGCTATCTTTATGTTTTATATTTGGACTGTCAAAACTACCACACAGCATGTGCTGCTTTAATTAAACATCTTGACAGAAACTGGATGTTTGTTTTGGTTCACCTCTGCCTGTGTACTGGCAGAGCACTGGCATTGTGACAGGTCCTGACCCCAAATGGGCTCCTCTTAGCTCAATGTTGGAGTCACAGGAAAAAGTGGAAACCGTAAAAGTTTTCTGAATGTCACCTAGTTGATGTTTAACATTAAAAGAAAAGGACCTCTTGGGCTGTGCCATTGCACTGGCAAAAAAAAAGAGGCATGTAGGGCAGCTCATGGTACCCCATGTGCCCTCCCTCCTCCCCTCATCACATGGAGGGGACAGGAGAAGGTGCATTAGCACCCTTTCCCTTCCCCCATCAGAGGGCAGAAAGGACAGCAGGCAATTGAGGTGATTAATAAACACCATCAATTAACAGGACAATCAATACAAACTGCAAATAGCAGATACTATGTTTGAAGAAACACCCCACCTTTCATGCCAGAGGGAGAGTGCACCTTCGAAAATACACACATGCATCATCTGAAAACAAAGGAATCATGCACTTTTTCAAAGCCAGTGTCTCTTCCATATTAAAACTTATGCAAATTTAGTCAATTTAATCAATCCTGCCATTGGCTAGTAATCAGTAATGCTAACATATACTGGTAAAATTGACAGAAGGTACACACAGAAGAAAACTCTCAAAGAAAACAGTCAATCACAAACTCAGGTGGAACTGAAATCAAGAGTACACTGCATTTACTCAAAGCTTTGATGCAAAACAGAAACAAACCATCATTCTTTTAGCAAGGAGTTGTTTGATCCAAGTTTAAAGTAAAGATTTCTTAGTGAACAGGGTTTTTATAAAGTTGAATAAGATGAGGGGAAAGGATGTACCAAAGAAAGATATATTCTGGTGGCTAAGGGGAATTAAGAAGCAGAGGAACTATTGATGCTACTAACCAGTTTTAGTGGGTTGTGAATTAGGTCCTGTAGGAGAAAACAAATGGAAATCTTAATATTAGCTATCACTATCTGACTTTTTTCCCTTCTTCCCTTCTTTGTCATTCCTAAGTTTATTAGTTTATCTTACTTTATTTAGGTCTCTGTTCTTCTATGCTGGCCACTTGCCAATGTACAGTATTGCCAAAAAAAGTTACAATACATGCCTTGCTGTTCCCCGAGGTCTTCATCATCTCCCAATATTCTATTTCTATCTTCAGTTTTGCCAAACCGTGCCTATACTTTCTATCTCATTAACATCTGGAAAGTGCTGCCTTGTCCCTGTGGTCCTAAATTCCTAGGAAGAGAACAGCTTTACAAAATCATGTTTTACACATTAGTTATGAGCTTTTCTTGCACTTCTTTAAATATTCATAGTATTGAAGGAATGCATATATTATTACCAATGACCAACTTGCTCTTAGCTTCCTTATTGGATCTGTACAACTCGATCATTTCTGCAAGTAATGCTGTGTAATAATTATGTCTGGCTCCATTCTCAGTGGTATCCTTCATCTCTTCTGCCTTTCCTCCACATGCTGCATTCGTCTTGTTTATTTTCAATCTAACCCAAGTTTGAAAAGTTTCAATCCTTCAGGGGCTTCTAGGCAAACGTTAAAACAATTTAAATAAAACATAAAATGAAGTACATCTTTAAAAATTAAAGAAAATCCTTTATTCTGAATGATTAAATGCCCACGGAGGTTTCTGTTACACGACTCTGACAAGTGCAAATGGAATTTTCATGTTTTAATATTTTTGAGCCTAGAAAAGTTCAGCTCACCAAATAACCCTACACCGTGAGAGGAGTACAGAATATAAACAATAAATCTTTAATGAAGACCTGGGGCTCTGCTTCCCCTTTTTCTTCTAAAACAGACGGATTACAGAAGTGTATGCAGACACTGTTGTTTTACAATGAAGTGAGCTTTTTCAGCATCCCATTATGAACTTCTGCTTATATCACCTGTCACCTTGGATGGAAACAGCATGTATGAAAACATAACATCTAACCATGCTGTGAGAAAATATACATGAGGAGCCAGCGTGGCATCGTGGTTTGAGAGTTGGATTAGGACACTGGGAGACCAGGGTTCAAATCCCCGCTTGGCCATGGTAACCCACTAGGCGACCTTGCGTAAGTCACATTTCCTCAGGCCCATGTACACTGCCATTATAATACAGATTGAACTGCATTATATGGTAAGTGCAGACTCATATAATGTAGTTTGACTGCATTGAACTGGATTGTATGTGTCAACACTGACCATATAATGCAGTTCAATCTGTATTATAATGGCAGTGTAGATGGGAGCTCAGCCTCAGAGGAAGTCAAAGGCAATCCCCTCTGAACAAATGCTGACATTTCACTTTAGGGTCTCCATATGTCAGAAATGTCTTGGAGGTGCTCAAAAACCAAGGAGGATATACCCTATATACTTGAGTATAAGCTGAGTTTTTCAGACTTTTTTTAGGCTGAAAAAGCCTTCCTCAGCTTATACTCGAATCAAAGTTATTTATTATTTTACTCTATTATTATTATTATTATTATTATTATTATTACATTTATTTTATTCTATTATTACATTTCTTATTTTATTCTATTATTTTTATTACATTTATTATATTAGTCTATTATTATTGGAAGTATACATAAGCACATTTACATTGTAGAAGGTTAGAAGAGTTGGACAGTCTTACCTTAAATTACAGTTTTATGTAAATATTCAATATTTAACCTACTGATGCCTCAATTAATATAATTTTATTGGTATCTATTTTTATTTTGAAATGTATCAGTAGCTGCTATATTTCCCACTCTCAGCTTATACTTGAGTCAATACATTTTCCCAGTTTTTTGTGGTAAAATAAGGTGCCTTGGTTTATATTCAAGTATATATGGTAGTATTGTGAGGACTGCAATCATACGAAGGCTAGTAGAGGGGGGAAAGTCATGCTAAGCCCCACTCTCACAGAGATGATATTTTTTCAAATTCAGAAATTCCAGAAAATGCTGAAAGGGACTATATTTATCAAAACATATTATCCGACTGTGAGAATTCACAGCTATCATTTGGATATTTTTTCCCTGAGCCACTCCATCTGGCAGTAACTGAGGGAGAAATGGCTCTGCAGAGCTCACTATATCATCTCAGTTCAGTCCCTGCCGGCATTTGTCTCTTTTTCTCCCTGGACTGTCTCTATTCAAGCTGGTTGTCATGAGAAAATTACATTGCTTTTAAGAACTGAAATTTCTCATTCCTTTCCCCTTTGACACATCTGTTTGATTGTAACCCTGTGGGCAAAATCGGGTTCAGGTTGTTGATTTTAATCTCTATACCTATTTGGAGGTGGATCCCATGTCATAGCTCACTGAAAGAAAATCAAGTCATTTGAGCTGTAGTGCTGGTGGAGACTTTTACAAATACCACATAGAAAAGACCAAAAAAATGGGTCCTGAACTCTTCCCTAAAAAGTCAAAATGACTAAACAAAGGATAGCAGATTTTGGATATATAATGAAATTACAAGACTGACTGTAAAATACAATAATGGTGAGTAACCTGTAAGTCAGTAGGAAAAAAGGAAATCCACATTACAGATAAATTGACTTGATCAAATAAGCCACACCCCTGAGATTGCAAGACTTGTGCAGCACAATTGTTGACTATTTGACCCATTTTCAAGTAAAAACAATATCAAACACTTGACAATCTTTTATGTAGGCTAAATAGATGGTTTCCAAACCCTTTGTCCTCTAGTCTAGACCAATCCCAATGGTAAGCAACCCAAGTGACCAATGGTTCTCAACCTGCTGTTTTGGCCTTCAACTGCCAGAAATCCTAACAGCTGGTAAACTGGCTGGGATTTCTGGCAGTTGTAGGCCAAAACACCACAGGTTGAGAACCACTGCGATAGATGAGGACTCCACCTACTGAATACCAATCTTGTAGATTTCATTCCATTCAAAGCTCTGAGAACGCTTTTATCTTATTGGTGGATGAACTGTCAGAACCACCTGTCTGTCACTTCCCCTTCATAGAAGTCCCCCACCTTGCCAAAAATCCCAATGGGGAGGTTAGACGCGGCTGATCATTTATTTATTTATTTATTTATTTATTTAGAACATTTTTACCCTGCCTTCTCAACCCCTAAGGGGACTTGATGCATGGCATGGGGATAAGAGGACCCTGAATCCCTGTCCTCACCCCCCCCCCCCTTTCAACACACACAGCCTTTCTCTCTTTGCAGATAGAAATGGGAACTTCTGGCCTTAAAGATGGCACAGTTTGAAGATGTATAGTGTGGAATGGCCAAGAGATCCTTTGAAAGGAAGAAGTCATTCTTGCTATGGTGCCAGGACCTCATTGCCTAGCTACTATTCTATGAAGTTACACTTGTTGGCTGCTCTTCCATTAGTTTATTCCAGCCACTGTAGACTTAATCAATTGAAATGACATGACCGGTCCCTTTAAATGTCTAAAGGATTGACATGAAGGGCATAGCACAGGTTTGGTCTCTGCAACTTCAGAGGGTAGCACTAGATCTGATCGTTTAAGATTACAGGATGGTAGATTTGAACATTAGAAGGAACATATTGACACTAAGAGCAATTTGACAATGGAACCATTTATCTAGAAAGGTAGTGGGCTCTCTTTCTCCAAGGCCAGATAGCTAACTGCTGGGCTGTTCTGGCTGGATTTCCTAATTGATCAGGAATTGGATTCAATGGCCTATGAGGGCCCTTCCAAATGTATGATTCTATTATTCTATGGGTCTACTCCAGTCAAGACTAACAGCTAGAGTAGCGTGTGGAATTCATTTCTTCCGTTTCCTCCAGTACCTTCGGTACTTCAGGAGCCCATAACGGTACTTCAGGAGCCCATAACGGTAAGGACCCTCCTGGTACAAAAATCTGCCCACAATAAAAACAAGTGGGAGCCCATCTCGGCTCCTCCTCTGCTTTCTGGCATCACTGTTTAATCTTTTTTTATTAATCCGCAAATAATAAAAAAAAGAAAACCCTCGTTGCCTGAAAACTACTCTCCTCTTCTAGGTCATTGATCTTCCTTACCTCGAAGTGGGAAGTCTCCTTAAAATGCCTTGGAAACAGTGCGTGCAGAAACACACTTAAATTCCTAAAATTACAGGAAGGGGAGCCCCCCCTCCCCCGCCATAATGGGTCAATAGAAAACGGATCTTTCGGCACCCCAGAGTGAAAACAGATAGCTGCCCTCCTGATTTTGGGAGGCTCCCAAAAAACGGATCAGGGCCCCTAACAAAAGCCAGGACATGAAACAAGTCAAAGTTTATCTGGATTCCACAAGCCTACTAACAACATCATTTTGGTGACTCTATGATAGCAGCTGCTGACAAAGGAAATATATGTTTGACATACACAAGCACTTGCTCAGCTAACATGCTGTGCAGATGCATAATGGAAAAACAGACAGACAAAGCTCCAGAATTTCGACAAAATAAGAATTTAGAAGTGATCATGATATTAACACATATATGCAAATATGTTTACAGAGAAATATATGCAAGTTTCCATAAGAATTGGCAAGATTTAATTTTTACTGCTTTACAAAGAATCCTGCATACCTGAGAAATCCCAAGCCATTTTGATAATCTAACAAAACAAATAATGCTGTGCATATTATTAAATGGAAAAAATAGTTCATACACACTAAACACACAGCTTGCATACACTCTATTTCACTTGGTGAAATAAAATAATATGTGCTTTTATAGTGGATTCTTTTATGTCTGATAAAGGTGGCCTGATCCCTGACACTCCTTCTGCAGTCTGTACATTTATATGTATGTTATACACTCCCATACTGAGACAAAGGTGGGATATAAATAAAGAATTTAAATAACTAATTAGGTAACACACTAAATAAATCTAGAAAGGTTGCTAGTTACTAGATTGCTCCTACTCACTCACTACTGTCAAAAGGTTATAGCTTTGTTATACAAGCAATT